CAGACTAAAGGACATGGCAAAGAGAATGGCTGAAAAGCAGAGAAAAGCATGGACTTTCTGTTCTTCATAAAGAACTCGAGGGAGTAGCCCATTTCTGAATTTCTGCTCGTTTTGCCGGAAATATAACAGGCATGTTCATTCATAAAGCTGAACGGCAAATTTGGCACATTCGGAAAACAAATAAAAAATAGAACTGTATAATTAAACTAAAATTATTATAGACTATATGGTTTTTGTCATCTTCTGATTGGTCAACTTCAGATGGATCGCCAAATCGTCTCGTTCAACCGCACATACGCCACGAATTTAAACCGACAGCATCCGATTTTTTTTTTACATGATTGAAAATTATCGGGAGGACGGGAGGTGCTCGTAACCTCTCGGATCGGCCCGTAATTCTTCTCACACGGTACGAGCCGTGAGCATCTGCGATTTTCTCCCGAGATAAAAAAATCGCCTGCGAGCTCGTACGACAGCAAAAATCGCACCGTGTAAGCCCGCCTTAAGACTATTAAGCATTTTCGTCTCAAGATAAAGACTAAGACTAAATCAAAAATGCCTGTCAAAATTAACACTGGAATTGGTATGAAAACAATAGGAAAACAAAGCTGGACATTTTAGGCACTTTAGAAATCATGACCACGACATATCTGGGAAAAAGAGGTGTGGTCTTCTACACCAAAAATAATTACAAAAGAAAGCAAACATAATTTTTATGTGATGAGCAATGATAGAGATTGGAATGTTAAAGATTTACTTATCCCACTCCCTTCTAAATTGTGAAAGAAACTCTGTTCTAAGCTACTAAAGATGATTATGACAGTAAATTAAATTAATATGATAACACATACCAGTCTGCATTATCAAGCAACATAACAGACCAGATGACACCGGAAGCCTTTAACATTTAAGTTACAAATGCTGTACTCGCTATTACATTAAAATCGAAGTGTCCACTTTACTTTAAATGTGGCCTGTAACAATGTGAACACAGACAAGCACAGAAAGCAGAATACAAACAGTGAAACATTGCAGTGCTGTTGTACTAAATATCAGGACTTTCACTGCTGCTCATCCATTTAAATTTGACAACCATAACAAACTATTGTATAACTTTTTTAAATAAACTACGCAATAATAGATTTTGACAATGTTGTTTTTTTTTTTTATCTCTTAGACATGCTGATTTAAACTAAGCAAACAACAGAAGCATAGTGTTCAATAATTGTAATACTTGCTTGCTTGTTTTCAGGGTTTGTATTATTTGATATGTAAACATTTAGTAGGATTGCACGGCCTGAAACATATGCGATTCCCTAAAATACTTAGTTGTTATTCTTAACTTTTTTTAGACTGACCTGAATGACAAGCTCAACATCCTTGAAGTCAAAACTGACAAGAACCAGCAGGTTATCACACAGATGAAGGAGCAACAAAACAAATTAAAGGTTGATAAATGTTGATTTTTCTTTTGGAATCTTTAACAGAATCAGATAAAGGTACTGTAAGAGATGACAAGATGTGCATAACTATCACATACTGTATGTCAGCATGTGGAGCTTTCATTTCCTTTGGTTTTGCTTTCCCAGGACTTAGCTGTAACCCGCAAACGTATTCTTGAGGCTGAATACAGGCAGATCAGAGAAATGATTGACCGAGATGAGAAAGAAGCCATGCTTGCTATCGATAAGGAACAGGAGAAAGGTCAGAGCAAACTGGTCTCCTTGATGAAGAAATTTAATGAGAACATCGAGAAGATGAATAAGACCAAATCTGAGATCAACAGTCTGCTGGACCAGTCGCAGTCACTAGAATTCTTAAAGGTGATCCAGAGTGTGATCATGTGACCAAATGTTGAAATAAATTTTCATTTTTAGTACTGTTATTTGAGCCTTAGATGTATATATGATTAAATATTCTGTGTGAAGCCCAGTGCTAGTGTAGGATTTCTTGCAAAAAGTAAAAGTCAGTTTAAGATGTGCTTTATACTTGATCTTTTTTTTTTTTTTTTTTGCTAACCTAAATGTCATTCAATGCAGCTTGTATGTTTGTATTCTTGACTTTACCAATCTCTGTCACAGGCGTCCATGGATTTGCCCTCAGTGGTAAATTTTGAGCCCTATAACCCTCGCATCAATGTGGAAAGTAAAGAGGTGATCGCTTATCATTCCTCTGCTGTTGCACTGAAGGAGTGGATCACCAGATTAATGGATCATCCATTAGAAAACAGAATCTATGTAATTAAACCAGGTGTGTTAGTGCAGAACTTATATAAATTGTGCAGAATGTTTTGATGTTTGTATACAGCAACCCCACACATAGTCTTAGTGCATGCTAAGAGTATTGATATACATATGTTTTTACAGAGTTTGAGAAATCTGTTCTTGGTGCAGGTGAGATTGTGTTTTGAAATAATTGGTGTGGACATCTAAGTAAGAAATCTGGGACATACTTATCATCTAAAGCATTTTTATACAAGTGATTTTGTTGCCAGTTATATGTTGTTGAGGTTGTTATAGGGCTGGGTGATGTGGCAAAAAATAAAATCTCTTTTCTTTTCTTTTTTTTAGAACATTTGACCAATTCTCGATTTTTATTTATATACAACATGATTTAAGTAACGTAATTATAAATACAACATGATTTAAGTAACATTTATAATTATAAATAAATTTTGCCACAATTTTATTTATAACAAATAAAATTGTGGCAAAACAGTAAATTCGAATTAATCTATAAAATCAGAAAAAAATCACCCAGCCCTAGTGCCTTATTTTTAATAAAACTGCTGCCAGAAGATTTTAACCACTTCTCTAATCCACTAGGTCTAGGAAACCAATTCCCAGTAATCCGAAGTGAGACTCCTGCCTTCCTACCAAATTCAAGAGGCATGTGTAAGTTGCAACTTCCATGCAACTGACTGGACTTTTTTTGATTCAGTATAACCTATACCCATACATCCATCCATTCATCACTATTTTTTCTCATTCAATTTTAAATCATTCTTCTCCCAATATGTTTCAGCACATATGAGATTTCCCAGTCCAGATCGCGGTCCCAAAGCCAACCCTTCAGGAGCTAAACAGAAAATGTCAAGTGAGTCAACTGCTTATATGTTTTGGAGCCATAAACAACATAGATTAAAATGTACACCTTCCTCTCATTGTTCTTCTTTATTTCTTGATAGGCAAGAGTGCTAATAAAGATCAGAAGGATCACAAAGAGCGTAAAGACCAGAAGCCAAACAGTAAGTTCTGACCACCCCTCAATATGTTCATTATTTTACAACTGACTATTACTGTTTGTCTGATCACTGCTATGTGTGTTGAACATATTCACACCTCGTGATTGGGTTAAAAAAGGAGGAGCCTGTTAGTAATGTATCTTATGTTTCACAGAGATTTTGTCAAAATTGTTCTGAAAAGGAATGTGGATCAAATTAATATTTCTTAAAAAATTATTCTAACATTATATGTCTTTGCCAGAATCTAGGAATCCCTCTAAAGGAGCAAATTCTGTTTTCTCCAAAAGCATGGAAAACTTGCTTGACATTGCAGTTAAACCTGTAGACATACCTGACATAAGTATGTAGAAAAGTTCTTGTTTATTCATGTCCTCCAAAATGTAATCTTTACTGTAAGGGGTCTGTGCTCCAAAACTACACAATTTACTGCAATTCTAGAATAGACTGCAGATTCTACTCTAGAAGTAGAAAAGCAATTTATCAGACCAGGTGTTTTTAAATTATTGAATGTCATGCAGGGCTGCAGTTCCCACACAACAAAGTAGTAGTAATTAATGTACATGTGTACTCTTCAAAATGGCACTGATTGTTGACAGACCAAAGTATATAGATTGAAATGTGTGTGCGTGTGTG